ACCATCTGAGGCAATAAAAAATAATTGTAAACTCGATGGAAATAGAGATCGTGTGGGAAGTTTCAATGTTTGGTTTACGTTCCATTGCTGAGGGACATATACATGTATATGCATAGTGACACCTCGCATTAACTGGTTGCCCTCCATAAATGCATAAAGAATAATTTAGGAAATTTCATTTCACACAACATCTATGGTTACATACTAAAAAAAAAAATGTTTAAATAGCATACATACACATATTATCAAATTATTTATTAGCATAGATTAGCGATGGGTAATATTTGCTGTTGCGGGAAAGAAGACAAAGAAGACTATATTGATGATGTCATTAAACGACAACCTTCCAAAGACTCGTTGTCATCATCACAAGAATTAAAAAATGATTATAATAATGATAATAATAACCCATCGATAAATCCACCAATGACAATAACGGCAGTAACGGACGATAAAGATACTTACAATGATGAAAGAAAACAAGAGCATGGTATTTGTACAAAGTGTGCCAGATATAATACATCAAAGGCACGATGCAAATCGTGCGATCCAAATCCTGAGGATGTTAATGAAGAACCACTAGGTAGAAAATTAATTAGTCTAAAGTATTTCTTTTGTTTAATAAAATTTATTTATTTATTAAAAATGTTAGTATTTGTTTGGATGTAATTAGAGGATCCTGATAATCAATTTGAAATTGAATTACCTCATGAAAGAGAAGAGGATGAGGAGCCACCAGGTGAGTAGATTATTGAATCACGAAGGAATATATATAATAATAACAATTTTCAAATAAAATGTTTCTTTTTTTTGTATGTAATTTAGAAGATCCTGATCATCAGTTTGAAATGGAATTACCTCATAAAATTGAAAGTGATGATGATGACGGTGATTATGATAAGCCAACAGGTTGATACAAGATTATCTATGTAAATCAGTTTGGTAGTAATTTTAATAAATATTTTTTTAATAAATTAGATGCTGATAAACCTAATGGAGAAGAAGAAGAAGAACCACCAGGTAAATAGATTAAATTGATATAGTAAAGTTATATACTTACAATACAAATAATCATAAATGCGTATATTAGAGGATATTGACGGTCAATTTGGAATGGAATTACCTGATAAGATCGATGAAGAACCACCAGGTGAGTTGACGATATTGATTAATGTATTGAAGTTAAATTAGTTGATGTAATTATTCAATTTATTAATTAAAAATGATATATGTGTGTATGTGCATGTATATACTTGTTATTTTTAGAGGATGTTGATGGTCAATTTGGAATGGAATTACCTGATAATATCAATGAAGAACCACCAGGTGAGTTGATGATATATTGAAGTTAAATTAGTTGATGTAATTATTCAATTTATTAATTAAAAATGATATATGTGTGCATGTGCATGTATATACTTGTTATTTTTAGAGGATATTGATGGTCAATTTGGAATGGAATTACCTGATAACATTATTGATGAACCACCAGGTGAGTTGATGATATTGATTAATGTATTGAAGTTAAATTAGTTGATGTAATTATTCAATTTATTAATTAAAAAATGATATATGTGTGTGTGTGTGCATGTATATATTTGTTATTTTTAGAGGATATTGACGGTCAATTTGAAATGAAATTACCTGATGATATCAATGATGAACCACCAGGTGAGTTGATAATATATTGAAGTTAAATTGGTTGATGTAATTATTCAATTATTAATTAAAAATAATATACATGTGTGCGTATATGTATGTACTTGTTATTTTTAGAAGATATTGACGGTCAATTTGAAATGAAATTACCTGACAATATCAATGATGATATTAGCAATGATGAGCCAGCAGGTGAGTTGATGATATATTGAAGTTAAATTAGTTGATGTAGTTATTCAATTTATTAATTAAAAATGATATTCTAGAGGATATTGACAATCAATTTGAAATGAAATTACCTGATAATACTAATGATGATATTAATGATGAAGAACCACCAGGTGAGTTGACGATATTGATTTATATATTGAAGTTAAATTGGTTGATGTAATTATTCAATTTATTAATTTAAAATGATATATACGTTATTCCAGAGGATATTGACAATCAATTTGTAATGGAACTACCTGATATTAATGATGATGAACCACCAGGTAAAATAGACCAATTATTTATTTAAAAAGAAATTGATTTTATGGTTTTTTTTTTAATTATAATAATTATAATGTATTTTTTTTTGGGGCATAATTAGAGGATATTGATAATCAATTTTCAATAGAATTACCAACTAATCATGATATTGAAGAACAAGTTGATGAGGATGATAAACCTCCAGGTTGGTAGATAATATACTACTAGTAGTAGTAATAATAGCAATCATATTATTTATTTCAATAACATAACAATGTATTGTCTTCTATATATGTGCTTGTGTTTGTGTAGAGGATATTGATAATCAATTTGACATGGAATTACCTCTTGAAATCAAAAGTAATGATGACGAAAAAAAAGATGATGATGATGATAAACCTCCAGGTAACTGAAACCATTAATTCATGATGATACTTTAATTATAATTATTTATGAAAATAAAAATAACCTCATGAATTTTTTCTTTGTGATATTTATTTAGAGGATATTGATAATCAATTTGAAATTGAATTACCAGACAATGTTTATTATAATAATGAAGAGGAGGAGACAATAACAATAAACTCTGGTAAGTAAATTAATTTAGTTATCATTTTCATTTTAATCAAGAAATAATGTTTTTACATATTATAGATTATATTACAGAGGTTCAAAGTAATCAAACAAATTCAAGTAATCAAGTTGATATTAGAGTCTCAGGTACATTATCTAATACAAATAATAGTAGCAGTAATGATAACAGAAATAATAATATCATTAATTATGAAGGCGATGAACCACCAGGTAATAATAATTTAAATAATTTGCTAAATAGTAATATTTATCACAATTATTAACAATGCTTATCTTTAATAGAGGATATTGATAATCAATTTGAAATGGAATTGCCAATGGAATTATCAGTGGCAACATAATTATTCATTCATTTTAAAACTTTATTTGTTTATCTCTAATTCGTACATTTATATTTTGTATTTTATTATTTATTAATTAATTAATATGTATTTAATTAGATTCAGATAAATTTTAATAATAATAGTTTTTTGGGTTGGGTAAACTCGATAAGTCGGACACAAGTGGCTTGGCATGATGATCTGACTTATCGAAATATGTAAACAAAAAAAGACGTTTAAATTTATTTATTTATTTATTTATTTATTTGTAAAATTAATATAATGATTGAAAAAATAATTATTTAGTAAAATAGATAGAAAAAAAGACACTATTCTTTATCTAAATAATATCCATACTAGTTTATATTAAAGAATTATTTTAAATCTTTTAATCCTGAAACAAAAACTGTTTGATTGTATATCATTATTATGTGTTGCAAGTAATTATATAGATTTTGAATGCTTTTTAAAGCATTTTTATAGACATTGGTGGCCCAAATCTTCTTCCTTTTCTTCGGTGCCTCTTTGAATTGCCGCAATAACTTCGTCATATTTCAGTTCCTAAGTCAGAGTCGATCTCGATGTAACCTCTTGCTGTAATAATAATATCATTATTACTAACATTGATTTGATCAAAAAATAAATCTCAAGTGATGAAATTATAATAACGATATTTGATATTGTTTTCCAGATGCGTAATGAACTTTGTTAGTTAAATAATTTTCAGATTGGTTAAATAGCTGTTAAATAACTGATCGGCAAAGTTTGTTATTTAATCAATTAACAGTTTAAAGTTCAAATAGTTCAAAAAAAGATTTAAATTGCAAACACCGGAAAAAGATGACCAAAAACCACATTTATTTTTAGGTAAAATATAGTATTGGGACTTTTGAGAAAAATTATATGATCACGATTTTTCTCTAATTTTTTTAATGTAAATTTCTTTTGATTCAGGTGATAAGTTTAAATTTGTCTATTCAATGATATATCTTTTATCATCTTCGCTACCTTTTAAATCATTTTCAATATCTACAGTTGCTTGAATGCATGTATTAGAAACTTGTTCTTCCGATAGATCAGTTCCATTCTTTTTTATAAGAAACGGCATCCAACCAAAACCATCCAACTTCATCTGGACAAACTACACACTCATTTGATATGTTTTGTGGAGAAACTGCTTGACGTTTTCGTAATATATACAAGTTGCACGATATCAAAATTTTATACCCAAACCCATACCCCAAAAATTTAAAAATTTTACCCAAACCCGGAATATACCCATATTAATATCTTCTTTTATTATTATCCAAAAAAATATTATCTAAATAAATTTGTAATTAAGAATTATATTGAGAGCACTATGTAAATCAAGAATACTATCGACTGTTACTGGATTTTATTGTCATGCTTTCTTCATCTAAAGTAACCGTGGTAAGCAAAAATGAATATTTAATGGAATAAATTTTTTTTATAAACCAATTATTTACAAAGTATTTATGTTTGAGAGCGTGGATTGCAAAATAAGATTTTTAGGGATGATTGTTCCCTAAACTTTGATTTTAACACTATTTATCCATGTAAAATATTAAATTTCGATATTTAGTGTCTTTTATCAAAGTAAAACTTATTATCGCCGAGGTGCTACTATTTTAACACCTGAGCAAATCGAAGAAATTAGGAATTCCAAAAATAGGGTTCCTAAATATGTGCTAGTAAGGAATTTCCATATTAATGAAAATCGTGTTGAATGGAAATCACAGCTTAGCAGATACAGTAGATCACTTTCCTGATTCACCTCATTTACCAAACATTGGCATGGATGAAAACGTTATGCAACTGAACTCTATTGTTACCTCAGATAAGCAGACAAAAAAGACTAGCAGAAAAAAGAAGGACAATTCTAGTGCGGAATTATCTAAAGGTGGAGATCTATCGGAATCGAAAATCGTACATCATTCTATTTTAAATAATCAGTCTACCTCATCAGTGCCAGAAAATGAAGTGCAATCCAGAATGTCACATTTGCGAAAATATGCTAAAGAGCTTCAAGCTGAATCCTGAATTTGAATCAATTCCTTTTCAAGATATTCAGCATAATCTAGAACTCTAAGAAATTCATCTTTGAGGTTTTGTCGTGTGTCCCAAACCTTAGAATGGAACTCTAAGATTTCAGTATCTGGAATGAAATTAAGATTAATCACGCTTTTTTTTTTAACTCTGTATCTGTCTCTTCAGAAATAGATGGAATTGCATTAACATGTTGTACCTCAAGCTTATTTTCGACTTATGCATAGTAACTGGAATGTAAAAATCTTTCCCGTTGCAATTGATCTTCAGTAAATTCTTTTCCCCGAGTATTTGATATTTGTGGTGTGGTAGAGGAAAGGATTGCTCAATAACAGCATAGGCTTATCATATCCAATAACTACAAAATCTAAATAAAATATACAATCTGGGGCTAGGGTTAACGGTACATTATAAACCATTCCAATAGATTTTGTCAGAACAGTGGTTGCTCTCTTGAAATAACGAGTAGTACTTTTATCGATTTTTAAACCCAAGCGTTCAGCAATGTCTCTAGACATAAGTAAAGTATTTGAGCCAGGATCGACTGTAATTGCCAAAAGTACTAGATGTTTGATTTTACCCCGAACAGTTGGAATATCTATCACATCCTTATCCTGGATAAAGTTAATTTCCATACCTTCGACAACTTCTTCATCTTCAGTCTCGCTTTTTTGGAGTGTATCATTTGCGGTACTAAATTTCTGAAAATTTCGTAAGATTTTACTTATAGCCTCCTCTAATAAAGTGGAATTTACAAGCTCACTTTGAATTATT